ACAGGTGGGAACCAGTGTGCGAGCGATAGTTGCGTGCGTGTGCAACTCCACACTCGTTTTTGGCCCCAGAGGGGGGGGGGGCGACATGGGCTTTTGCCGACCGCTTGCTGTGGTGCAATGACCCAGACGCAACCCCCGTGCAAATGGGAGAGTTGCCTGTACAGTGGTACCTCTGGGTTGCAAACAGATCCGTTTCCGGAGCCCATCTCCAACATGAAACAGGCGCAACCCGCAGCATCTGTCTGCCGCATGAACACTAGCAGCGAAACCCAGAATAACCCTCTCCGGTATCCTCTGTCCGCCGCAGGACTTAACCTGATAAGAATGTAATCATGAAGCGGACATAACATAAGGTATGCTGCACTTAAGTTGCTGTGTTGTTTATTGCAGAATAAATTATGTTGGTGGTATGACTGCCATATACAAAGAATATTATATTCTAAAGTCCAAGCCTGACCCTTTCCACCCTATGCTGCGCCCCATGTCAACACAGGGCAGCTGCTTCTTCTTTTCTTGCAAACAGTTTTTCTCCAGCTCTGCATTCTTGCTCCTCAGCCACAGAGAGACTCCAGAAGGTGTGCCAGGGCGATGCTTCCCCACTCATTAAATTATTTCTTTTTTCTCCCAGGGATTTTCTCGAGATTTCATAATTTGTCCACCTGAGTCTGAAAAGCTTTCTGGTGGCATAAAATATTCCCCTGTCTTGTCAATTCCGCTACAGCTGCAGCACGTGCAGAGGGATAGAGCAGAAGCCTATCATGACCAAATGGAAAAGTGGCTGCTGCTCTTCCTTCTCTTCCCTCTGCTTTTAGGACACCCCAACGGCTGTTTTACAATGTCACCACAAACTATATTGTTTTGAGGGTGGCAGCTTGTGCACAGCCATCTCACCCCCCTGCAATCCCAGGGTTTGTTCTATGAGCGCCCCAACCTTTCCAGGTGGCCCTGAATAGCCTATTCTTGGTTTAAGAGGGATGAACCAAATATTTGTTTTCAGGGTGGCGTTTTGCTTGGACCTCCCTATGTGAATTTCCTGTTTGTTCTTGGTCACAAGGATGCGGTTTCAGTCCCCTGCCCTCTGTGGCCCCTTCAGCCCCCATTTCCCCGTCTTTTCTCCAACAGATCAGATTTGGGGGCGCAGCAGGCTGCAAACGGCACAGTGTAGGAGGCGAGGTGCGTATTAACACAAAGGGGAGGCTTCCCTCCCTTGCACAGTCCAGGTGGGTGCCAAGTGGGGGAGGGTCCGGGTATAGGATTTGGAGGACCAGACCATGTCATTACCGAGGAGGCATGTTTAGTCATTGTTTGAGGACTATCCCTGCCTCCAGGTCTGGTCCTGACCGGAAGGATACAGGAATCAGCAAGGGAAACCCACATGACCTGAAAGTTGCTGTGCAATGCCAGGTCAATGATGAATAAAACCACTGCCATCCACAACCTGATTGTGGATGGAGGATTTGACCTGGCATGTGTGACAGAGACCTGGTTGGATGAAGCAGATCCAACTGTCCTTGCCTTTGCTTGCTCACCAGGTTTCTCTTACGCACAGCAACCCAGGTCATGTGGGCGGGGAGGGGGGGGTTGCAGGAAGTCATTAGTCTGCACCAGGCGTCCTATTAGGAAGACCCAGTTTTCTGAGTGCATGTTCTGGAAGTTGGGCAATACAGGCAGTACAGGATTCCTTTTGGTGTACCAACCTCCCTGCTGCACCAGGGATTCCCTGCCCGAGCTGCTTCAGGTCGTGGCAGATATGCTCCTGGAGACACCTAGCTTGGTTGTCTGGGCTCTGGGGGATTTTAACATCCATGCTGACACGACCTTACAAGGGGCCGCTCCACTGTGGGAGATGGGCCAGGGCGGGAGAGTACTAGAGTTCTGTCTAGTCCTGTTACATGGGATCAGTTCCAATCTGTTACCTCCGAGGATGTGGACAGGCTGCTTGGACAAGTGAAACCGACCACCTGTCTCCTTGATCCTTGCCCATCCTGGCTGATAAAAGTGAGCCGGGAAAGGCTGGGCGATGGGCTCTGCGGGGTGGTGAATGCTTCCCTCTGTGAGGGAGCCTTCCCAGACCCGATGAAAGAGGCAGTCATTAAATTGCTTCTTAAAAAAAACACCCTGCCAATTTAGCCAACTATCGCCCAGTCTCAAATCTACCATTCTTGGGCAAGGTGATTGAGTGGGTGGTTGCCGAACAACTCCAAGCACGCCTGGAGGATGTGGACCATTTGGATCCCTTCCAATCGGGATTCAGGCCTCACCATGGGACTGAAACTGCCTTGGTCGCGCTGGTTGATGATCTCCGGCGGGCTAGGGACAAAGGTGAGAGCTATTTCCTAGTTCTGCTGGATCTCTCAGCGGCCTTTGACACCAGCAACCATAACATCCTTCTGGACCATCTAGAGGGCTGGGAGCTGGGGGCACTGTTATACGGTGGTTCCGCTCCTTTCTCCTGGGCCGTGTCAGAAAGTGGTGGTGTGGGGGGGGGGGGGTAAGTGTTCAGACCCCTGGGCTTCACTTGTGGCGGTGCCTCAGGGTTCCGTCCTCTCCCCCATGCTTTTTAATATCCATATGAATAGAATAGAATAGATTCTTGTATTGTCATTAC